TGTCGCCTCGGGGGAAGGGCAACATGCATTTCTCAATTAATTAATTAGGTCTCCAACATATGCGTACTGATATTTGAGTAATACCAAAAATCTCAGAGCCAAGTTGTTTAGTTTAACAAAGAGATTCTACTTAGGGTAATCTTTAAATATTTAAACCAGCATTGAAGGGGAGCTTTGGTCTGGGGCTAGATACAAAAGGTGTGGCTGTGCAATGATAAAAAACAAGGTCAATTAAACAAAATGTTTCAATCCCATGAGACTTGACTGCACCAATAAAACAAATAAGAACCCACCACATACTCATAAAAAATCACAAAAAAACTAACATTTATCTTTTGCTTGCCTTAAGTCCTTTTTCCCTTTTTCCTGCTTATTCTGTTCAAGCTGATCAACCCAACATGTTATAGGAATACATTTAGGGTATCACTATATTTTTCTGTGACATGGTTGTGAAAGGAGAAATCACAACACGGTGACATGTTAGAGTACGCACATGAAGTCGCATCTGCTCACACATCACCAGCCCCAAAACTAATAAGTTTCCGCGCTGTCGGAATAATTCTCTGCTTGCTACTGACACATAATTAGTTTTTAAAGTAGTTTTCCATGAAAATAGTATCAATTACCGCTTCACGCTTCGTTATCCTCCCAAGAGACAGGTGGACTTAGCTGGCTCGCATTTTCTGATTTGACAGTGTGTTAATTGAGCTATTAGCCGGAGGTGTATGTGTTCATGTGAAAAACGGAGAGAAAGAGACATGCAAATTCCAGGGGGTTCACTTTCATTTGATCTGTGTGCATGCTTCTTCCAGGTGTTCGGTCATGTTGTGGATCCCTCTTGTATCACAAATACTTAGAAATCCAAATTAAAAGGTGTGAAATTGGCAACTCTATTTAATTTTTTTCCAAACATTGCAGTTTAGTTTATATCTATTTTTCTTTTCACTGACTGAGCAAAAGTCCAAAGTGAAAGTGTCTATCTGGTGCTTTTTCCTGTGGAATTGTAATGGTAAAACTAAGTGCTAAGCACCCTCATAAAGTGCCCTGCCAAAAAAATATGGATCAGTACTTATGTTTGTCTGTATCAACAGTGTAAATACTTAGAATTGGGCTCTAGTTACTCACTTTAGCATTGTATGATACAACATAATGCACGTAAATGACTGATTGTCTTATTCCTTTTAGAACTAGACTCTTGTGTTAAACTCTGTGGCTCTTCCCACAGATTCTCCCTCTCTCTGTTTCAGCAGGTCAACATCCACACAGCAGGCCTGTTCATGTCAGAGCTAACAGGCCATAACATTCGGATGTGTCCAGCCGTCCTCCTGTATGGGGCCCAGCCCAGAAGATAAATGTCCATCACACCCGGGTTTTGGGGCTCCTGCCAACTGAGATCCTCGGGGAGCTTTGTCTGTGAGAGCCCGTTGATTACTTTACCTGTGACCAATACATGTCATATTTGTACTCTTGATCTACTCTGGTTTATCCTCAGGGTCTCTACTAAAGAATCAGGCTAAGAATACATTGGTTTAATGAGTTTGCAGAAATATAAGGGAATGAACCCATCATTTTTTGCCCTTATCCAGTTATCTGGCTTCACCTAATGTAATGGGTTTGCCAGTCTGAATCTAATTTCCAAGAGGTAAATCAAATTTCTCCAGTATCTACTTTTCAAATAATGTGTGGTTATGATTGAGAAATGTTTGGAGACAACCTGCTGTAGAGCAACAGCTTTTGAATGTCCTGTGACATTCTTCAATAGGAGATTGCAGGCTATGTCGCTCATTAGTTGTCCATCACGAAATTAGAAAATCTATTCCCAGTGGTAACCAATTCACACACCAATTCATTCATGCACAAAAATGATAGGATGCCCAGTTTTCCTATAAATGAACATCATTATTTCTGGCCAGGATAAAGAATAGCCCAGAGGACATTCCAAAGATCTCTGAGGGGGGCAATGATGAAGGATGGCTTCTATCACCGCTCTGTGTTCGGTCCATGTATTTGTAATGTGACCTCAGTCTACAGACATAGTTCACAAATTGATCATTCAAACTTATTTCAAGCTAAAATTGTAAGAAAAGGTAAGCAGTCCTTATATTTAGTCAAGGCTAAAAGTAATGAGCGTTTTTTTTAAAAAGGACTCTGATAAAAGGTGCTGCTCGGTCCTGGATACACAACTTCCATTTGTTTGTGTGCCGGAGCATGAAGTGGAGTATTATATTGACAGCATGACATTCGTTCCACTGGTCAATATGATGTGAGGTTTGGTTATTTGTATGGATATGTGCGAATGGAGGACTGGGCTTCAGGGGTGTGGACAGAGAGTGGCTGATCGAAATCTCCCTGCTGACTAGTTCTAGTATTGATCGGTCCATATCTGTGCCCCCATCACAGTGTCACACACAGACTCACACACCAGCGCAGAGACCCAAACGCAGGATGCAGGAAATATATCTTTCTTTAACATAAAAAATGTTGAGAACCCTGACAGGCCATTTATTTTGTTGTAATACATGAATGAAGTCTGAAGATTTACAGTGCAACACTGCAGGCACATTAATGAATGAATACCACTCAAATAATGACATTATTATTTATTATTGTGAATTAAACTGATTTATAAGGAACCATGCACAAGGATAAGCACTTTTTTTCGCATGACACACAATTGATCATTTTTTTACATTACACATACGTATATCCATAAACAGAAAAGACACTAGACCTTATTGTAGCTATTATTGATGAACATTTGACATATCTTCACAATTAGCTGTATGGTTCAGGTCTTTTGTCCTCTCCTCCTGGTCTGGTACGGTGAGGGATTACTCACTTTACTACTAATTTGCCAGGAAGTTGATCAGACATTAGTGCTAATGTCTTCTTCTCAGTGCCGGATGTATTCATGTTGAGTTATCAATGCCTTTTTTTTACACTACTATCCTTGATTGCAAACCTCTGATTGATAGATTAAAAAGTAGAGTAGAGTAGTAGAGTAGAGTAAAGATTTTAAACCCTGGGATGTCATGAGGAACATTACTTCTACTAGATGGGCTTTAAAAAAATGCTGTACTGATTTGGCTTTGGTTGACTTCAATGTGACTTAGTTGATTAATATTCAAAGTCACCAAACTCCAGCTTTACATAAAAATGTTTAACTGCAAGCAACACCTTCAAATGAGATATGATCACGATAGATCATCTCTTGATTTGTTGTTGTTTAAAAATAGGAACATATAAAAGGTATGTAATCAGAATGTGATTCCAGTAATGTCTGGGCCATTAAGGACATTAAGCTTTAGCACACAACATTTTTCTTTGTTCTTACATAGTACAATAGGTTATACAAATTGTGGAATTCATGTCACCAGTACTGGATTATATACTGACCACAACTTTTTCATAATGAGTGGTCTTCATTTGGCTTAACGTAACAGTTAACTGTTTTTGTATTACGCAAGTAGATACAAGTGATTGTTTGTGGCACAATCATTGAACGATGGTTACCTGTGAGTGTAACTATGTACACCACCCCCGTGTGCTGGTGTTAGAGATGTGTCTGAGTTTCCTCCCAAACTGCGAGAGCCCTCAAATAATGCAATTGATCTGTCTCTTGATTTAGTTACAGGATGGGTAATAAACACGGAACCTTATATTCAGTGATATGAGGATACTGAGAAACTGGAGGTGTGTGCGTGTAAATAAGTTATTTCGCGTCATCTGAGATGTTCAGCTTGTGTGGCTTGTATAAATGAATGTCTGAGTCCATCCCAGATTCATTGCACCAGCATCTTAAAATGCTGGCCTTATTCCCACTCTGCCATTTTATCTTCCTCTTTTTGTTTTTCTCCTGGGCAGAACGTGTTCCACCACACTGATTTGTTTGTCAGGGTGTGGATGCACCTGGGCAAACCGCAGGAAACCATTCAATCCTGGCACGTTCACCAGGGCACTTAGGAGTTCATAGTGGGAGATGCATGATATAGAACACTGCTGATGGTGGTGTTTCTCCAGATGAAGTGAGCATAAGGGGAATGAACAAATATGAATCAAGCGTGCAACGTCTGAATGGAATAGTTGACATAAAAAGTCAAGGGATGATCTTGTATTTACAACCATTAGCATATGCAGCTGAGTGTCTGTTTTTCACAATTCACTGCTCCCTGTTTCAGC